CTGAGTTTCATTCAGGCAGACTGTGATGAAAGCGATGTTCTGGATAATGATGACATTACAAATACACATTGAAAAACAATTCTTAAAACAATTTAAAATGTTTTGCACACTGAAAGACATCCAAAAATGTAAAGGCCCCTTTTCCACACACATATGACTAGACCTATATTTTATAGACCAAATGGCACTTGCTTTTTGAACCCGATAGTGTCATGCCAGCCCTTTTACTTTCCAGGACTGCACCTGTGCAGTCAAGGCTGGAAACCAAAGTCATTTTTTTTGAAGGACCGGAACCCAAGACCTTTCGATCAGCAGGTAAGCATCTAGCCGCTACATCGCGGCGGCGTCAGAAAGACATAATATGCTGGTCAGAATCGGACTATGGGGAAAGGAACTTTGTAATGGCTGGTTGAAACTTTCTCTGGCAGTCCTGCAAGTTTTAATTCTTTAAGCATGAAGCACTGTTGGTCGTGCTGCTTTTGTCCTGAAAATAGCTTTGCCTCTATCAGAATGAGGCTTTTGTAGAGACTTTTCCACCGATCTGGAATGAAATACTATCCCGGTCCATACATTGGACTTCTAACTGTTTCAGATCTATCAAGGCCTTGCATTTATCAAAGTGACTTTGATGTTGGGACTTTTCTCCCGACCTGGTGTTCCATAGACTGTGTTGTGAAGGTGTCCTTCCCCTCTGTATATTAACAGACAAGCAGGCTCAACGAAATCATAATATATAAAATGTTGATAAGACCAGTCGTTTTATATGGCTCTGAAACTTGGAGCACAACTAAAAGAGATGAAGCCTTATTACAGGTTTTTGACAAATCTTTGGACCCATCAAAGATGCAAACAGCGGGAAATGGAGAGTGAGAAGCAACAACGAAATTGATAATCTGTTTAAATCACCCCTAACAACTGGCATCATGAAAGCTAATAGATTAAAATGGTTAGGGCATGTTGAAAGAATGTCAGATGACAGAGAAGTAAAAACGGTATACACCTGGAAGATAAATTGTTGTAGACCACGAGGCAGACCAAGAAGACGATGGAGAGATAATATCCAGACAGACCTGCAAACACTAGGTGTCACCAACTGGAAAGAGAAGGCCAACCAGAGAGATGAATGGAGGCGGGTGTTATCTGCAGCAATAAACCTCAACGGCTCGGAATGCTGAAGAAGAAGAAGAAAAAGAAGGCTGTACGAAGCCACTACTGCAATTTTATATCTGTAGAAAAGTGCAATGATTCTCTGATTGTCACTCAACCTGGGGATACCAGGTCTGTAAATTTTAAGCAGCAGAAGGATAAGCTCAAAGTCTTTGTGCTGGCTTTTTTAAATTTCAGTCTTTTTTCTTTCTTTTCTCTACTCCTGGAACGCCTTGTGGCATCAGGGCAGGAAGAGATCTCTGGAACGAGTCTTTCTGATGGCTTTGTATAAAGTACTTTTCAGTGTCTCTGATATTTCTGCTGTTCATCTTCAGCATGGTCGGCCTCTGGTTCTGTCACCATTGTATCTTTATAATACTGCTCTCTGTGGTTCCCTGTCTGATGCCAGTCTTGTTACGTGGCCAAACCATTTAGTTTGTTGTCTACCTATAAAGCTCAGTGTTGGTTCTGTGCCGACTCTCCTCCTCATAATATTGTTCCTAAGTCTATCTTTCTGGTTAAACATAGCCTAGTATGTAATCACTTCATTAAATGTGGCTATTTTCCTTTTGTCCTTTAGAGACATATCCATATCTGACAAAAAATATTACAAAATACATAATATATTACACACACACACACACATATATTTGTATATATATATATATACATATACATATACATACATCCTCATAATCACATAGCAGGTCCTTTGCAGAACATCACTCTCATCACAGTCTGCCTCATGGAAACATGTCTCTCGCCAGCTCTCCGACCTTGTGCACTTTCATACCCACGGGGCCACTTATATCCTGTGACCATCATCGTGCTGGTGGGCCACTGCCCCTCCTTCCTGGCACCATGCCTTCGGATGTTAATTTTACCAATCTGCAGTGGCACTTGATATAAATAAAATATTTTTGCTTCATGAGACAAGATTCTGTTTATTAGCCAATCTTCGTGTCTGTGATCTTGTTATGTTATGCTATGTTATGTTTCATCACTGCGTATTAGGCATTCCCTTTCTTGCTCAATCCTCCCATGCAGCAGCCACTCCAAGGAACTTCTATTAATTGTTCCCACGAGAGGTTGATTATAAGAGACGGGCTTCATTATGCTTTACTCCTATATCACACAATTGTGTTAGTTTCAAGGATTTGTCCTTATCAACTAACCCAGTCCGTACAGTGTCGATGATATCTGCTCTGTCCATGCTTCTTTCCACATGCTTTGGTACATTGCTTGCCAGTTGGTCTGCTCGCTCATTACCCTTTATGCCAGCATGATCAGGTGTGAAAATCCAGTAAGAGAAGTTGAGTGTGATTTTCTAATGCTTTCTACCCATTCAGAGTGCATACCGCCTGTTGTTATCTTCTGAAGCATGTTCATGGAGTCGGATACAATTACTGTCCGTGTGGCGGTTTGCTCGGATACCCATGCTAGTGCTGTATAAGCAGCGGTTATCTCCATGGTCATACTTGACATAGTTGCCTGGTAAGTGCCGCTGCCCTCTTTTGTTTTCTCCATCCTATGCGCTGTCTATGCCCAAGCTGACCTTGATCCGTGCTGCACAGACCCATCTGTGTAGACGACGATGTCTTCTGGGTGTGAATGCTGATCTGTCAGTGCCCTTACCCCTCGGTCTTCAGCCGCAGAGATCTAATCACTGCAGTACCTCCCCAGGAGATACTATGCAAGTCTACTGGTACATTCATCCATTCTTTCGTCTAGGTAACCTACGTGTCTGTGATCTGCCGTGCCTGGGGGGGAGCTCACCATCAGATTTTCAGTTTCATGTTTGGTTTCTGTGATAAGCGTCTTCGGATAATAATGCACATGCACAAATCTAGCTTTTTTCTATAAAAAGAAAGGTGCAGGCACTCACTCAAAATGTGTCTATCCTGGTGAACTGACAAAAAAAAAAAAAGATGCATACCATTTGCAGACCACCAGAAAAAAAAAAGCTGGTAAATATATTTATACATTTGCACAAACATAATTCAAAACCATTCTGTAAACTCCTCAAGCACACAGGTTATGATTGTCAGGCAGCTTTGTCTGAAACACTCCTTCTTCTTTGTCCTCTTCTTCTTTGCGTTCAACAGCTGTAAACTCTGGCAGAAAGTTCTGGTTGTTCATCCACTTCTGGAATGTAGTCTTGTTCCAGAACCAGAGAATTGCAGGCAAATCCATTTTACAGATCTGGCTTACTTGTGTGCAGACTATTGGTTCCTCACCTCTCAGCTAGCTTCCCTCTGACATAGAAGAAAACACCCCTATCAGCTGACTCTTCAAAACATGCTTGTTGGGGGGGGGGGGGGGGGGGGGGGAGTGGGTCTATTCTTTTTGTTTCCCACAATGGGGCACCGGAATCTACATTGGGGCAATCATTCAAATGCTGGGAACTTTCAAGTACATTCAAATCACACATTTTCTAAATGCCAGAAATCTTCTTATACAAAGTTCAAATCATATATTTTCAAAATGTCAGAAATCTTCCAGTATAATATTCACATCACACATTTTCTAAATGTCAGAAATCTTCCTAGAAAATATTTAAATTATGTATTTTCCAAATACCAAAATTCTTCCTGTACAATATTCAAATCACAATTTTTCATAACACCAGAAATCTTCCTATACAATGTTCAAATCACATATTTTCTAAATGCCAGTAATCTTCTTATACAATGTTCAAATCTTCCTGTACAATATTCAAATCACAATTTTTCATAACACCAGAAATCTTCCTATACAATGTTCAAATCACATATTTTCTAAATGCCAGAAATCTTCTTATACAATGTTCAAATCCTGTATTTTCTAAATGAGAGAAGATTTCCTGTACAATGATCAAATCACACATTTTCTAAATGCCAGATCCAAAAATCATCAATGTGATGGTTGACAATGTTGTGTCTGAATATCTGCTATTGTTGGTGTGATGTTGGACAAGACACAATGCAGATCACTCTCCATGTTAAACTGGCAGCACTGTTTTGATCTGAGCACAAGTACACTCAGTATCCATATTGCTTCATGTTCCCTTTTAAAACCTCCTTGCATTCCCCCCTGGGGTGGGGAGATGGGGGTGGTGTGGCCTCTAGGTTTAAAACCTTGGCTCAATTTAACAGATTAATGCAGCCATTCTATTCTGTCGAAAGTAGTTACCATTTCATAGATAAAACACTGACACAACAAATCATAAACATGCAAAATCTATTGTTTCTATTATTGGCTGAGACAAAACATATCTGGGGTATTACTTTCCGAATGCTCTTCACACAGTCAGTAAGTGTACAGAGAAACCACTAACATTCACAGCAAACCAATTTTCATGATCCCTAAATTAGGTTTCATATGAATCCTCATGAAACATCATCATCATCCACAGGGATTCTGCTGAAAAACGTGAGTCAGTGACTCCTTGTACAATCATGGAATGTACAGAGAAATTATTTCCGTTCTTTTCATGATTCTTAAGGCAACAAATAAACACAACAAACAATTTCATATGAATCATAAAATATCACCATCAACCACGGGTATTCTAAGGCGCTGAAAAACAGCAGTCAGTGACTCCTTGTACAATCAGGAAATGCATAGAGAAACTATTACCAATTATAGCAATGAACTTTTCATTGTCCCTACGGCAACAAACACAACAAACAGTATCATATGACTCCTCATCAAATATCATTATCAACCACAGATATACTAACACGAAGAAAAACAGCAGTCAGTACTGCTTGTACAATTAGCAAATGCATAGAAAAACTATTACCAATTATAGCAATGAACTTTTCATAGTCCCTACGGCAAGAGATTAACAAACAATTTCATATAACACCTCATCAAACACCATCCTCATCCACAGGTGTTCTAACTCGCTGAAAAACAGGAGGCAGTGACCTATTAAATCCCTTGACAACCAGGTGTGTAATGAGGTCGGAAGCAGCCTCGAATACAACAAAGTTCATGTCATAGAAGTCGTTGACGCCTAACCCTTTTCCATAGAACAAGTCTGGAGTTGTTTGCGGGTGGAGCCGCCAGGAGCCAAAGCCGTATCTGTAGAAGATGATTATGAGACACAGTAAATGCTACAGTAAAGGGTGTGGTAATACTGCAGTTAGAGTTAATGGTGTGTAGTTTTTTCCCCCTGACTTCACAACTATTTATCATAGACTCATAACAATTTACATTTCTGCAACAAGCTGAATGAATAAGATTCTCTAAACCTAACAAGCAGCTGATATCGACAGCACAACTTCCATACACAGCACACAAACATATATGAATGTTCTCTTCAAATTTCTTTTCCCATTGTTTGTATAAAATCTGTATTTAACTGAAAATATATCTACGTATGTATGTTTGATAATTCGTGTATCAAAGGGTTGATAATGCACGAGTGAATGCTCAGGCCCGAGACTCTGTTGTTTAGACACACTCAACAGCTAGACCCAATAAATGTCTGGACCAAATAAATGTCTATCTAGACCCACCAAACATCTAGAACCAATGAACGTCTAGACCCACTGAACGTCGAGACCCACCAAACATCTACAACCAATGAACATCTAGACCCAATGAACGTCAAGACCCACCAAACGTCTAGACCCAATGAACGTCAAGACCCACCAAACATCTAGACCCAATGAACGTCAAGACCCACCAAACATCTAGACCCAATGAACGTCAAGACCCACCAAACATCTAGAACCAATGAACGTCTAGACCCACCAAACATCTAGAACCAATGAACGTCAAGACCCACCAAACATCTAGACCCAATGAACGTCAAGACCCACCAAACATCTAGACCCAATGAACGTCAAGACCCACCAAACATCTAGAACCAATGAACGTCAAGACCCACCAAACATCTAGACCCAATGAACGTCAAGACCCACCAAACATCTAGACCCAATGAACGTCAAGACCCACCAAACATCTACAACCAATGAACGTCTAGACCCACTGAATGTTGAGACCCACCAAACATCTACAACCAATGAACATCTAGACCCAATGAACGTCTAGACCCACTGAACGCTGAGACCCTCAAACATCTACAACCAATGAACGTCTAGACCCACTGAACGTTGAGACCCACCAAACATCTAGAACCATTAAACGTCTAGACCCACTGAACGTTGAGACCCACTGAACGTTGAGACCCACTGAACGTCAAGACCCACCAAACATCTAGAACCAAGAACATCTAGACCCACTGAACGTCAAGACCTACAGAACGTGGAAACCCACCAAACATCTAGAACCACTGAACATCTAGACCCACAAAACGTGGAAACTCACCAAACATCAAGACCCACTGAACGTCGAGACCCACCAAACATCTAGAACCAATAAACGTCTAGACCCACCAAACATCTAGAACCAATAAACGTCGAGACCCACCAAACATCTAGACCCACTGAACGTCAAGACCTACAGAACGTGGAAACCCACCAAACATCTAGACCCACTGAACGTCAAGACCTACACACCGTGGAAACCCACCAAACATCTAGAACCACTGAACGTCAAGACCCACCAAACATCTAGACCCAATGAACGTCAAGACCCACCAAACATCTAGACCCAATGAACGTCAAGACCCACCAAACATCTAGACCCAATGAACGTCAAGACCCACCAAACATCTAGACCCAATGAACGTCAAGACCCACCAAACATCTAGACCCAATGAACGTCAAGACCCACCAAACATCTAGACCCAATGAACGTCAAGACCCACCAAACATCTAGAACCAATGAACGTCAAGACCCACCAAACATCTAGAACCAATGAACGTCTAGACCCACCAAACATCTAGAACCAATGAACGTCTAGACCCAATGAACGTCAAGACCCACCAAACATCTAGACCCACTGAACGTCTAGACCCACTGAACGTCAAGACCTACAGAACGTGGAAACCCACCAAACATCTAGACCCACTGAACGTCAAGACCTACACACCGTGGAAACCCACCAAACATCTAGAACCACTGAACGTCAAGACCCACCAAACATCTAGACCCAATGAACGTCAAGACCCACCAAACATCTAGACCCAATGAACGTCAAGACCCACCAAACATCTAGAACCAATGAACGTCAAGACCCACCAAACATCTAGAACCAATGAACGTCAAGACCCACCAAACATCTAGAACCAATGAACGTCAAGACCCACCAAACATCTACAACCAATGAACGTCAAGACCCACCAAACATCTACAACCAATGAACGTCTAGACCCAATGAACGTCAAGACCCACCAAACATCTACAACCAATGAACGTCTAGACCCACTGAATGTTGAGACCCACCAAACATCTACAACCAATGAACATCTAGACCCAATGAACGTCTAGACCCACTGAACGCTGAGACCCTCAAACATCTACAACCAATGAACGTCTAGACCCACTGAACGTTGAGACCCACCAAACATCTAGAACCATTAAACGTCTAGACCCACTGAACGTTGAGACCCACTGAACGTTGAGACCCACTGAACGTCAAGACCCACCAAACATCTAGAACCAAGAACATCTAGACCCACTGAACGTCAAGACCTACAGAACGTGGAAACCCACCAAACATCTAGAACCACTGAACATCTAGACCCACAAAACGTGGAAACTCACCAAACATCAAGACCCACTGAACGTCGAGACCCACCAAACATCTAGAACCAATAAACGTCTAGACCCACCAAACATCTAGAACCAATAAACGTCGAGACCCACCAAACATCTAGACCCACTGAACGTCAAGACCTACAGAACGTGGAAACCCACCAAACATCTAGACCCACTGAACGTCAAGACCTACACACCGTGGAAACCCACCAAACATCTAGAACCACTGAACGTCGAGACCCACCAAACATCTAGACCCACTGAACGTCGAGACCCACCAAACATCTAGAACCACTGAATGTCTAGACCCACCAAACATCTAGAACCACTGAACGTGGAGACCCACCAAACATCTAGACCCACTGAACGTCGAGACCCACTGAACGTCGAGACCCACCAAACATCTAGAACCACTGAACGTCGAGACCCACCAAACATCTAGAACCACTGAACGTCGAGACCCACCAAACATCTAGACCCACTGAACGTCGAGACCCACTGAACGTCGAGACCCACCAAACATCTAGACCCACTGAACGTGGATACCCACCAAACATCTAGAACCAATAAACGTCTAGACCCACCAAACATCTAGAACCACTGAATGTCTAGACCCACCAAACATCTAGAACCAATGAACGTCTAGACCCAATTAAAATAGGTGAAGTGAGAGTCACCATGAGTCTAGTTCAAGCCCCAGGGTTAACTGGCGATGCACTGTGAGCCTCAAGGTGAAAGCTTGGTCATACGGGGTAACCTCGACAAAATCGGAGGGGGTAGTTTAGTTGTGTGGGAATGTTCCCACTGGGAGATGTGTGGGAATGTTCCTACTTGGAGCTGTATGGTACTGTTCCCACTGGGTGGACGTTTGGTGATCCCCTCTTGTGTTCTGGCTCACAGCTGTATGCCGCGGAGATTAGGTGCTACTTGCAAAGCCTCAATCCAGTGTATAATGTCTGTGTTATTATTATTTAGACAGTGTTCAACAACAAGACAGAATATGTGTAAAACAGTGTCTGGTTTGGTTTGAACAACGGATCACCATCATGGCACAAGGCTAGTAACCTTTAAGTGCTACGTTTTCTTCTAATTTAAGCCTGAGTCCGAAGAATCTCAGTGCAGTCAAAAACTCCGTAGAACCCACGAGGATCCTGAAATTCTTTGGGTAGATTTTTAACTCAAAATTTTGCCCCGGCAGTGCTGTTAAGCTACTTTTTATGATTTCCAACTGACAAGGGATTTTTAATGTGTGCAACAATACAGTGGCATCAGATCTTTCTACCCAGAGACAAGGGGAAATTACTAGAAGTTCATGTGAAAATATTCCTGTCTTCACCGGGGCCTGAACTCGGGACCTTCAGCACTTGAGGTGGACATCATTTCCCAAGACCACATAGTGTCTGTTTCTACTGCCAACCCTGATTGTAGTTGTTTAGCCGTCTTGTGTGTAGGCACTGAATGGCAGTAAGTAAGCTTGTGGGTCTTTGCACCGCAGCGCTTCTTTGTCTGTGACCCCAGAGCACCACCTGTTGATAATTCTAAGGACGCTAGAGCTCAGACTTTTTCTTGCCACAGCATTATGGTGATGACACTGTGCAAGGTTTGTGCATTTTTCATCCCCAGTTTTGCATGCCGGTGAGCACGAACAACAAATGTCAATAAATGTATAATTTTGTATGGTATCCAGCGTGTTGGGACCACTCCTTGGCTGAACTTCTTGAGTAGCTCGTGTTCAAGAACTTTGATTCCAGTAATTACTAGACACTTGACTTGTTTTAGCTGTCAGGGCGGACATTACAGCTGAGCGACTCTAAGGTTGCCCTGAGATGCCGCCTAATCTTCTCAGCGTGAAGGCGGCCCCAGCAGCTTTACAATATCCAGAACCAGAAATTTTACAATAATTCCCTGCCTGTAATCTTGTGAAGTTAGTGTTCTATCTAAGTAAAGTAAGTAAAGGACCCTTTTCCACGCCTTTGGCGTATAGGGCTAGACCTATATTTTATAGACCAACTGGCACAAGATGGGTGATGTGGTCAGAATCACGCCGGCCGCCTTCACTTTCCGTGACTGCACCTGGTAACCACTCAAGGCTGAGTCGACCTGGGAGCCAATGTCATTTTTATTTTTAAAAGTCCGGCTCCGCCGCTCAGCCACGGCGACTCCCAGTGTTCTATCTACTAAGAGTTAACTCACTGACTATCACAATCACACATTATGTGATCAGCCAAAGTTTTCCGCCTAGCTACCATAACCACAGCCCTGTGATGATAACATTGGATGCTTGCTGACTTTTGCAATAAATGTGGTTGAGCCGTTAGTCCATTCATTTCTCTATGTTTCTTTCAGGGAAACAATTCAGTAATGTCTCAAGTAAATATTCCATGAATTTATTTGGTGAATGATCATGTAGATGACGCATTAGGTGGATGTTCTGATGATGCATTAGGTGAATGTTCTGATGACGCATTAGGTGGATGTTCTGATGATACATTAGGTGAATGTTCTGATGACGCATTAGGTGGATGTTCTGATGACACATTAGGTGAATGTTCTGATGACGCATTAGGTGGATGTTCTGATGATACATTAAGTGAATGTTCTGATGATACATTAGGTGGATGTTCTGATGATGCATTAGGTGGATGTTCTGATGATGCATTAGGTGAATGTTCTGATGATGCATTAGGTGAATGTTCTGATGATACATTAGGTGGATGTTCTGATGATGCATTAGGTGGATGTTCTGATGATGCATTAGGTGGATGTTCTGATGATGCATTAGGTGAATGTTCTGATGATACATTAGGTGAATGTTCTGATGATGCATTAGGTGAATGTTCTGATGATGCATTAGGTGAATGTTCTGATGATGCATTAGGTGGATGTTCTGATGATACATTAGGTGGATGTTCTGATGACACATTAGGTGGATGTTCTGATGATGCATTAGGTGGATGTTCTGATGATACATTAGGTGGATGTTCTGATGATACATTAGGTGGATGTTCTGATGATGCATTAGGTGAATGTTTTGATGATACATTAGGTGGATGTTCTGATGACACATTAGGTGGATGTTCTGATGATGCATTAGGTGGATGTTCTGATGATGCATTAGGTAGATGTTCTGATGACGCATTAAGTGGATGTTCTGATGATACATTAGGTGGATGTTCTGATGATACATTAGGTGAATGTTCTGATGATACATTAGGTGAATGTTCTGATGATACATTAGGTGAATGTTCTGATGATACATTAGGTGGATGTTCTGATGATACATTAGGTGGATGTTCTGATGATACATTAGGTGGATGTTCTGATGATACATTAGGCGGATGTTCTGATGACAGGGCTGATCGTTAGTGGCTTGAAAGGTGTAACAGTTTGTAGTATATTTCTGATGCTATGGGATACTTCCTTGCTTGTTTCAAATCGGAAAGAGATGAAGATATTTCTTAACAGTCTGATGATAATCGTATGAACTGCCATACAAAATAACATCAAAAATGGAATATGACTAACTGCTTACAGCAGTGGCGTGCCAGTTGGAGGTAGGTGTGTTATATTACACTAGTTCATGTAAACTGTTTCATGTATGTGCTTCAAGTGTGTACTGTTAGATGTATCTGTTAGAGTCGATTGTGGCTCTGTGGCTTAGGGTTTAGCAAAAACAAATCGTTTCACAATGCAATCCTCAAAATTTGACAGGATGCGTTTTTCACGATGAGAAATGATCGGTTGTGTGTGTGTGTGGCTTTTTGAGTTTGACAATTTAGCCATAAGGTATCAGAAGTTCCTGGTTCAAAATGGTAAACAGTCACTGATTTTTATTTCACAATAAGACAGAGCTCTCACCCATTATCATTTCAGCCAAAGAAATTATTTAAATTATTTATATTGGTGTCAGATAGAAACATTTTTGGTGTGCCTCTGTTTTGCTCCAATGCACAGCAATTTGACAAGGATGTACAACAAAATTACTCTAGTTTTTATTCTTGAAATGTATTCTCCATTCAGTTTGGTGCAAAAATGCAAAAACAATTATGAGTGTATGTTAAATAGTTGTCAAGCTATGAATTTTGTCTTTATTGCTGTCAAAAAAAAAAAAAAAAGATTTTTCAGTTGACTTTTCTTGCACCAATCTACAGCCACATAATGATGATGTCAAACATGAATACACACTTTTTGTTCTTGAAATTTGTTCTCCATTCAATTTGGTGCAAAAATACGAAACATTCTAATGTAATGTTAAATATCTATGCCATTTTTAGTACACACTAAAATATGTGGTATCTGAGAAAGTGCAAGGGTAAACAGGTTTTGTAGCCAAGGGGATTTTCTATTTCAGTCCCAGATAGTTGTCAATTTATCTCTTTGATTTGCACGTATTTGTTACCTTCAACAGTAAATCTTCAAAACCAGAGAAATTGAAAAAGAAATAACAGCATGGACAAAGGGAGTTAAAGTAATGGTTGTGACAGCATATTTTATTAAAACAGCTGCATAGAGAAAAAAGTATTTAAAAGAGCCCATCACATAAGAAATAATAAGCAAATGCTAGTTAATTTTACCTTTTACACAAAATATTTGAGAAGAAGGTAAAGGAAGACTATGAAAGAGATGGATATATGGTGAAGCTGAAAGCTGCTAAAAAAATTGAACAAATCCATCATCCAAGCCAAACAAGAAGCGCAAGACAAATACAGAAAACCACGACACTGGGCTACAGCCTGGTGAGATGACAGAACCACGACACTGGGCTTCAAACTGGTATCAGTGAGACGACAAACCCACGACACTGGGCTACAGCCTGGTATCAATGAGACGACAAAACCACGACACTGGGCTACAACCTGGTATCAGTGAGATGACAGAACCACGACACTGGTATCAGTGAGACGACAAAAGAAAGAAAAGTAAAAGCGTGAGTTAATTAACATACTTTTGTCAGGCAATTAACTCTTACCTTGCTATGAGACCATCAACTGTAGTATTGAATTCAACAATCAAGTCCCCGTACCCATCGTTTCTATACACCCCAGCATAAACAGTCCAGTTTCTGGAGGGTTTCAAGCCAATTTCATAAACAGGCACTGGGTCGGCACTATGAGGGTGCCAAGGCTGAGGGAAGCTGCATACTGTTGAAGTGTTCAGCCAGGGTTCCAGTCTCAGTATGGAATCAATTATGTAATTCTGCAGAGACATTCTGTAAGGGGTACAGAAATTGAAACAAAACAAAGTTCATCACAAAAGCAGTTTCCCCAGTTTTGAAGTGAACAAAGATGACACAAATATCAGACTGCAGAATATACTGCCAGTCCAGTTAGGATTCATATATGTGCTTCATTTTCACCACATACTGAATGTTGAATTGTTGTTTGCGTTCACCGGTTGTAAATCCCGGTGGAAAGACCTGGCTGTTGGTCCATTTCTGCACTTTGGCTTTGTTCCAGGACCTGAGTTATGCATGTGCATCCATTTTACAGATCTTGCTTATTTGTATGCAGACTGTTGGTTCCTTGCCTCTAAGGCAGATGCACTCCAACTCTGAAAGAAGCCCCCAATTAGCCAACTCTAATGACATGCTTGTTGGGGAGGCTGTGGGTCTATTCTTGCTTTCCACACAATGGGGCCCCTAAACCCAAACAGGAAGGAATGTTGAATTAAGAATCAACATCATTTACTCTAGACATTCCCATAAGTGCTCCATCCTCCATCTTCAGCAATAAGCGCAGAGTTCCAATTCCGATGGCAACAGTAACAGTCTGATTGTATACATCCATGCTGCCTTTCCCTCGAATGTTAAGCAACGGCCAGATTTTTTTTTTTTTAATTGTAATTTTTTTATGGTAATCAATTGTTACTGTAGTATACACATCTGATAAAGTACAGAAACGTGTGATTCTGTTTAATTTGTGTCTCCTTTAATTACAGGTTTATTGTGGCTGCTAATATATACCATCACAGTTAAACAGCAGAATCCTTCTTCTACTTCTTCTTTGATCCTTCTGTCAGAAAACTTATATCAGGAGGCTAGTAGCCTTTATGAAAGCTATCATGCAATCCATAACCCCTTATGTACCATACAGTTTTGTCTTCATTGTGGTTGGAACAGGCCAGATCGCATCCCTGTTGGCAGCAAACAGTTTACAGTGTTGGAGCACATGCTAAGCATTTTCAGGTGCCAAGCAGAATTCTTGAAATTTTTTTTTTTTTTTAAGATATCATTAGAATAGTCGGAACAACACCTGTAATCAGATTTAATGAAAAGCAAAGACTGAAATGCTTTAGCAATGAACCCAGCGTCACCAGTTGCAAGAGCATACAATATGAGAATGGAAACATCAAGATACAGAGGACGGCCAAGAAGAACATGGACAGACAGAATTAACAGCTTGCTGAAACTCAACACTGTCATCACGCAGCAAGCTAACGAGTGTGCACTACCCCAAAAACCAAGCATCACCTGTGCCTGCAATGCTAAACATCATTTAGCAGGGAAAGACAATGGATATATAGATAGAATATTCTTTTTTTCCCTTGAAGTCCATGCCATGTGACGGTAGTCGTGTCTATCCGCAACCTTCTGTCTCCATGCCATGTGGTGTTGGTAGTCGTGTTTATCCCCAACCTTCTGTCTCCATGCCATGTGGTGTTGGTAGTCGTGTCTATCCGCAACCTTCTGTCCCCATGCCATGTGGTGTTGGTAGTCATGTCTATCCCCAACCTTCTGTCTCCATGCCATGTGGTGTTGGTAGTCATGTTTATCCCCAACCTTCTGTCTCCATGCCATGTGGTGTTGGTAGTCATGTCTATCCCCAACCTTCTGTCTCCATGCCATGTGGTGTTGGTAGTCAGGTCTATCCCCAACCTTCTGTCTCCATGCCATGTGGTGTAGGTAGTCGTGTCTATCCCCAACCTTCTGTCTCCATGCCATGTGGTGTTGGTAGTCGTGTCTATCCGCAACCTTCTGTCTCCATGCCATGTGGTGTTGGTAGTCATGTTTATCCCCAACCTTCTGTCTCCATGCCATGTGGTGTTGGTAGTCATGTCTATCCCCAACCTTCTGTCTCCATGCCATGTGGTGTTGGTAGTCATGTCTATCCGCAACCTTCTGTCTCCATGCCATGTGGTGTTGGTAGTCATGTCTATCCCCAACCTTCTGTCTCCATGCCATGTGGTCTTGGTAGTCATGTCTATCCCCAACCTTCTGTCCCCATGCCATGTGGTGTTGGTAGTCGTGTCTATCCCCAACCTTCTGTCTAGTATACTTTCAATGGACTCTGATACAGATAATCCCCCATGCCATGTGGTGTAGGTAGTCGTGTCTATCCCCAACCTTCTGTCTCCATGCCATGTGGTGTTGGTAGTCGTGTTTATCCCCAACCTTCTGTCTCCATGCCATGTGGTGTTGGTAGTCATGTCTATCCCCAACCTTCTGTCTCCATGCCATGTGGTGTTGGTAGTCGTGTCTATCCCCAACCTTCTGTCTCCATGCCATGTGGTGTAGGTAGTCGTGTCTATCCCCAACCTTCTGTCTCCATGCCATGTGGTGTTGGTAGTCAGGTCTATCCCCAACCTTCTGTCTCCATGCCATGTGGTGTTGGTAGTCATGTCTATCCCCAACCTTCTGTCCCCATGCCATGTGGTGTAGGTAGTCGTGTCTATCCCCAACCTTCTGTCTCCATGCCATGTGGTGTTGGTAGTCGTGTCTATCCCCAACCTTCTGTCTCCATGCCATGTGGTGTTGGCAGTCAGGTCTATCCCCAACCTTCTGTCTCCATGCCATGTGGTGTTGGTAGTCGTGTCTATCCCCAACCTTCTGTCTCCATGCCATGTGGTGTAGGTAGTCGTGTCTATCCCCAACCTTTTGTCTCCATGTCATGTGGTGTAGGTAGTCGTGTCTATCCCCAACCTTCTGTCTCCATGCCATGTGGTGTTGGTAGTCAGGTCTATCCCCAACCTTCTGTCTCCATGCCATGTGGTGTTGGTAGTCAGGTCTATCCCCAACCTTCTGTCTCCATGTCATGTGGTGTAGGTAGTCGTGTCTATCCCCAACCTTCTGTCTCCATGCCATGTGGTGTTGGTAGTCAGGTCTATCCCCAACCTTCTGTCTCCATGCCATGTGGTGTTGGTAGTCATGTCTATCCCCAACCTTCTGTCTCCATGCCATGTGGTGTTGGTAGTCGTGTCTATCCCCAACCTTCTGTCTCCATGTCATGTGGTGTAGGTAGTCGTGTCTATCCCCAACCTTCTGTCTCCATGCCATGTGGTGTTGGTAGTCATGTCTATCCCCAACCTTCTGTCTCCATGTCATGTGGTGTAGGTAGTCGTGTCTATCCCCAACCTTCTGTCTCCATGCCATGTGGTGTTGGTAGTCATGTCTATCCCCAACCTTCTGTCTCCATGTCATGTGGTGTAGGTAGTCGTGTCCATCCCCAACCTTCTGTCTCCATGCCATGTGGTGTAGGTAGTCGTGTCTATCCCCAACCTTCTGTCTCCATGTCATGTGGTGTAGGTAGTCATGTCTATCCGCAACCTTCTGTCTAGTGTACTTTCAATGGACTTTGATAAAGATAATTCTCCATGCCATGATGTTAAAATGCCCAGCATGTTTTCATTCAGTCTCCATCTGCCTCTCCTCCCCTCTAGCTTTCCTTCTGCCACGATGTACTCCAGTTTTCTCCTTCTCACCACATGAACATGATGCAGACAATCAGTTCTCTTTGTGGGTCAGTTTTTTTTCAAGACATCTTTATTACTCTTTTTATCTGTCCAGAGTATTATCATTCATCTATAAAGCCACATTTCCGCAGCTTCCAAATAAGTTTTCACTAATTTAGCATCTGTCCATGATTCACTTCCATATATATAGTTAGGATTTACATAGCTTTTAAGAATTCTCTTTCTTGTCTTAATTGGCAAAGAAAGATTGCTTGAAATATTCTTCTATTTTGTAAAATGGTGGTAGATAGAATACTGGTGTACTCCACCATGTGAGAAACAGCTTGGCAACAGTAACCATGGTATATCAATCCTCCCGCCCCGAGATAACAAGGTTTTCTGGCTTTTACAGGTTCTTATTGACATGATGTCTTGTGGTTGTGCCCAGTATGCCTGTATGGCAGCTGTAGTACTGGCTGCAACTGCATTGTGTGCAGATATGGTGGGTATGATTATTTTAACCCCAAAACAATTTTGTTTTTAGATATTACTTGGTCCAAACAAAAAAATTTTGTTTTTTGTTTGTTTAACATTGTGGATTAATCATGATGACATATAATTTTTCCCTGTGTGGGTACCAAGACCTCCTTGTGGGGAAAACAAGAATACCCCACAAGCATGTCGTAGGAGTCAACTAATTGGGGACTTCCTAAGTCGGAGTGCATCTGCCCAAGCGGCAAGGAGCAACTAACTGCCCACAAATAAGCCATTAAAACAGATGTATAAGCAAAACTCAGGTCACGGCACAAAGCCAAAGTCTAAATGGATGAACAACCAGGACGCTCTGTAGGAGCTTACAGCTGGCGAACACACAAGAAGAACTGACCCTATACAGCAGTTAGCTAAAAACCATAACATAACATGCCAAACTGTTCTTGCCAGGGTGACTGCAGAATAATGAGGAGGAGGAGGAGGAGGAGGAGGAGGAGGAAATGCTCAGTCTCCCTACAGCCTGATAAGGTTGAGAACTGGACATGCAGCCTGGTGTGGCAAAATGGAGCTCTCCCGACCAAGTGTTGAAATTATTATTTCTGTGTGTCTGTGTATGCACATGTAAATGTGCATGTGCGTGTGTGCATGCATACACCTGTGTGTGTGTGTGTGTGTGTGTGTGTGTGATAACATGCAGGTATGTGTGTGTATAAACCCTTCTGAACCAAAGCAGGCACAGAAGCCAGCTTGCAGGGTGTGTGGGTGAGAATGTGTGTAGGTGAGGGTGTGTGTGTGTCGGTCATGATGTTTGAGATGTGGGTTAGGGTGTGTGTGTGTGGGGGTCAGGGTGAATATGCGCGTGCAGGTGAGGGTCTGTGTAGGTGAGAGTGTATGTGTGTGTGGGTCATGGTGTTTGAGTGTGTTTGTCAGGGTGTGTGTATGGATCAGAGTGTATATGTATGTGTGTGTGGTGCAGGTGAGGGTGTGTGTGCGTGGGTCAGGGTGTGTGTATTTGTAGGTCAGGGTGTGTGTATTTGTAGGTCAGGGTGTGTGTATGTGTAGGTCAGGGTGTGCGTGGGTGGGGGGGAGAGGTCAGGGCGTGCGTGGATGGGGGGAAGCAGGGTGTGTGTGTGTGTGTGTGTGTAGATGGGTGTGTTGGGGGATGGGGGGGGGGGGTGGCAGCTCACCTGTAATATACACCATCATCGTCTCCATTCATGGCAATGAACACACCCACATTCTCTGAAGGGACAAGTGTCAGCATAGATGCATAGCCAGGGGTTGAACCGGTGTGGAAGAGGATCTTATAACCTGACATGTGATAGTCAAAAAACATTCTAAATGAAATCTTCAGCTCACAGTGTCACACCACGCACTAGGTGAAGGAACTATGTCTTTTTTTTGTGCCCATTTACAACACAGCTGCAATATTTGCATCTTTCAGCAGACAAATCTGACTTTTGCAGGCATTTTATGCCTGGGTGAGCCTCCCGGACATCATCATTCCCTCTATCCTGCACAGGCACCAGTTAATGAATGTTTGTAGTTTAACAGTAATTGTTTTGAGTTATTGTTCCTGTTTCAGAGGGGCTGCGTGGTCTCGAGGCATGGTCCGCCTCAAGTTCTGGAGGTTCCGGGTTTAGTCCCCGGCAAGGGCTGGAATTTTTTCATGTGGACTTGGACTTCTAGTAATTGACCTTGGTCTCTGGGTAGTCAGATCAGACGCCCGTGTGCATTGTTGCACATGTAAAAAATCCCCTGGCAGTTGGAAATTGAAAAGAGTAGCCTAAGCACGCTGCCCGGGCAAAATGTGGAGTTAAAAATCTACCCAAAGTATTTCAGGATCCTCGCTGGTGCTACAGAACCTGTGCACTGTGCTGAGCTTCTCGGACTCAGACTTGAGTTAGAAGATGAACGGAGCATTTATGGCTTACTACCCATGTGCCATAATGTTGATCCATTGCTCAAAACCTCAAATCCTGTTTCAGCTCTATACAACAGTGCCGATTCGACACAGAACTAAATATTTTGTGTTTAATATTAGTTTTTATTTCTAAAGCAGATCTATGCAACTAAGTTTAAATAGGAGCCACAATTTAAAAAACGGGGATAGTCACGCGCCACAGACCCGAGATTAAAAAGATCATTAATATAGTACAACTTACAGTGATCTGCCAGCCACCTCCTAGGTATCCGCAGGCCAGATTTGGCCCGTGGGCTTCTAGTTAAACAGCCCTGTTCTAATGACTTCTCAGTGCAATGAAAACCCTTCTTGCATTTTGTTTTCATATTTTTTTTTTATAAAAAGGCTTTTCTTGCTTAAAAACAAAAAAACTGTTGAAAGTTATAAAATGCAGTGGAAAACTGAAAAGAGCACCCAAAGCTGCCTTCCAGGGTGAAATTAGGAATGAGAATTCATTTCATGTTTTCTATGTGGGTTCCAGGACCCAATGTGGGGGTGGGGGGAGGGGTGAATAAATCCACTGCTCTCCTAACAAAAGTCAAGTAACTAGGGTGTTTCCTTCAAAGCAGAGTGCATCTGCCTGAGATGCGTGTAACCGACAGTCTGCATACAAATAAGCCAGATCTGTAAAATATTTGCATGCAAACTTAAGTTCTGAAACAAGCCATAGGTTCAGAAGTGGATAGATAGCCAGAACTTTTCCTCCACAGAGCAGTGACCATTCAGAAAAAAATTGGCAAACTTCAGAACATAACACTGCCTAGTAAAACCATAAACAGCCCCAAAAATGCTGGAAATGTTCTGCAACATCTTATAAATAACTGGAAAACAAAATTGCGTTGCAAGCCTTTTACTGAACACTGGAGAACAAACTCCAGCCTTTTACTGAACATTGGAGAACCAACTCCAGCATTTTACTGAACACTGGAGAACCAACTCCAGCATTTTACTGAACACTGGAGAACCAACTCCAGCATTTTACTGAACACTGGAGAACCAACTCCAGCATTTTACTGAACATTGGAGAACCAACTCCAGCATTTTACTGAACATTGGAGAACCAACTCCAGCATTTTACTGAACACTGGAGAACCAACTCCAGCATTTTACTGAACATTGGAGAACCAACTCCAGCATTTTACTGAACAGTGGAGAACCAACTCCAGCATTTTACTGAACATTGGAGAACCAACTCCAGCATTTTACTGAACACTGGAGAACCAACTCCAGCCTTTTACTGAACACTGGAGAACCAACTCCAGCCTTTTACTGAACACTGGAGAACCAACTCCAGCCTTTTACTGAACACTGGAGAACCAACTCCAGCATTTTACTGAACACTGGAGAACCAACTCCAGCATTTTACTGAACATTGGAGAACCAACTCCAGCATTTTACTGAACATTGGAGAACCAACTCCAGCATTTTACTGAACACTGGAGAACCAACTCCAGCCTTTTACTGAACATTGGAGAACCAACTCCAGCCTTTTACTGAACACTGGAGAACCAACTCCAGCCTTTTACTGAACACTGGAGAACCAACTCCAGCCTTTTACTGAACACTGGAGAACCAACTCCAGCATTTTACTGAACATTGGAGAACCAACTCCAGCATTTTCATGGGCTTTTCTTCTTATTCTTCTTCGTGTTCACCGGCTGTAATCTCCGGCAGAAGTTCTGGTTGTTTTTCCACTCCTGGACAGGAATCCGGTTTCAGAACCAGAGTGTTGCGTGTGCATCCGTTTGACAGATCTGACTCATTTATCTGCAGACTGTTGGTTCCTTGCAGATGCACTCGGACTTCGAAGGAAGATCCGAATTAGTCAACTCTTACGACATGTTTTTGGGTAGGCAGTGGGTCTATTCTTGTTTTCCCTTTAATAGGGCCCCGGAACCCATGCGGGAATTTTATGGGTTGTTTATGATTTTTCTACGCTTAGAAATGCCGGGATGCTGGGTTCGATCCCAGCTGCGGGCCATGAGCCTTGCGTTGGTTTTGACAGTGGTATCAGGGGGCTGACCGTCCAGAAAGCAATGGCAAACTACTGGAGGTAAATTTGACTAGAAAAACCACAAAACAGCCAGGGGCTGTTGGGGTTGGTTCTGCAACGTCCTGTAAAGGATACGCAACTAACCTTATGATTTTTCTAGGCAAATTTATGTTCGGTAGATTGCCACTGCACTTGAACAGTCCGGCTCTTGATACCACTGGCAGGACCAGTGCAAAGCTACCAAATCATCTACACCTACAACTGAAGATGTGATCTCTGACTTACGAATCACGTTCACAATACCTAAGCCACAGACACAGAAACTGTAACTGATTCACAGCATTTAACTGCTGATCTTACCTCTGTAGTGACCTACTCTCCAACCAAGAGCATACAAATCCCCAGTCTGAGTAACAGGAAACTCTGGCCTCTGCTCCAGGCTGACGTCGGTGGCCGGCAGAAATGATCTCGGTGAATGTAACTCAGCGATGAACGATTCTGGGAATATCTCTTGTCCGTGAATATCCCTGCCCCTAGTAAGGTGAAAGTTCATCCAGTTTGCCATTTCGTCAGCACTGGAGAACAAGCATCCGGAGCCACATCGGCTGTCCCACTGTCTGATCACACACAAAGGAAATTCAGAATTACATCCAAGTGTAATATACAATATGATAAGCAAAGTAAAGAGTGATGTAATGCCACTAGTGCAGAGGACATATGATGTTAGACCACTGGCTTTACAGACCAAACCAGAGGACATTTGATGTTAGACCAATGGCTTTACAGACCAAACCAGAGGACATATAATGTTAGACAAATGGCTTTACAGACCAAACCAGAGTACATATGGTGTTAGATCAATGGCTTTACAGACCAAACCAGAGGACATGATGTTAGACCAATGGCTTTACAGACCAAACCAGAGGACATGATGTTAGATCAATGGCTTTACAGACCAAACCAGAGGACATATGATGTTAGACCAATGGCTTTACGGACCAAACCAGAGGACATATGATGTTAGACCAATGGCTTTACAGACCAAACCAGAGGACATATGATGTTAGACCAATGGCTTTACAGACCAAATCAGAGGACATATGATGTTAGACTGCTGGCTTTACAGACCAAACCAGAGGACATGATGTTAGACCAATGGCTTTACAGACCAAACCAGAGGACATGATGTTAGATCAATGGCTTTACAGACCAAACCAGAGGACATATGATGTTAGACCAATGGCTTTACGGACCAAACCAGAGGACATATGATGTTAGACCAATGGCTTTACGGACCAAACCAGAGGACATATGATGTTAGACCAATGGCTTTACAGACCAAACCAGAGGACATATGATGTTAGATCAATGGCTTTACAGACCAAATCAGAGGACATATGATGTTAGACTGCTGGCTTTACAGACCAAACCAGAGGACATGATGTTAGACCAATGGCTTTACAGACCAAACCAAAGGACATGATGTTAGACCAATGGCTTTACAGACCAAACCAGAGGACATTTGATGTTAGACCAATGGCTTTACAGATCAAACAGCACTTGATTACTCAGTCTCTAATTTTACCATTTTCCCGGCCAGTAAGTTTCAGATAAGAAAGCCACAGGTCTCTACGAAGCCTTTCACTGATCCACACAGCTTGGTTTCCATTGGAATGTTAATCAACCAAACCTGGAATCTTTCTTCTGCATGTAGAGTGTGTGTCGCTGCTTTGGTCAGTTGTTTTTCTTTTGGCAGAGGACAAACCTGTAACTTGGTTTCCCAGAACTTCCCCCTATGGGTTCCAGGCCTCACTGTGGGAATAACAAGAACAGCCCACTACCTGCACAACAAACAAGTCATTAGAGTCTACTAATTAGCCAGAGTGTATCTGTCCAAGAGGCAAGGAACCAACAGTATGCAAATAAATATGCCAGATCTGTAAAATGGAAGTGCAAGCAATACTCAGGTTCTGGAACGAGACTAAAGTACAGAGCTGGACGAACAACCAGAACCTTCCGTTGCCATTTACAGCCAGTGAATGTGAAGAAGAGAAAAGAAGTAGGTTTCCAAGAACCATCTCTGTGTGAATGGTACTAACCTCTCTTTACCTGTTGCATTCAGATGAGTTTTAAAATATTCTTTCTATCTTTCTCTGATCTTATCCTCTTCATGTATGGGTCTACAAGAACCATCTTGTACCTATTTTGATGGTTAGTGATTAGTGAGGATTATCATCACAGCACTCGGGACAGATCATCACAGCACTCGGGACAGATCATCACAGCACTCGGGACAGATCATCATAGCAAACAGGACAGATCATCACAGCACTGGGGACAGATCATCACAGCACTCGGGACAGATCATCACAGCACTCGGGACAGATCATCACAGCACTCGGGACAGATCATCACAGCACTCGGGACAGATCATCACAGCACTCGGGACAGATCATCACAGCAATCACGACAGATCATCACAGCACTTGGGACAGATCATCACAGCAATCACGACAGATCATCACAGCACTCGGGACAGATCATCACAGCACTCGGGACAGATCATCACAGCACTCGGGACAGATCATCACAGCAATTGGGACAGATCATCACAGCAATCGGGACAGATCATCACAGCACTCCGGACTGATCATCACAGCACTTGGGACAGATCCACAGGGGCTCCGATCTCCTCCTCAAAACTCCACAAGTGTAAAATGATTGATGACGCCTGTTCTATATTAATTATTCAAACGTCTTGTCGCACTGGTGAATGTTCATTTCTTGCTACTCCAGGTCGATCCCCAATATCCATTAGCCTAGAAAGGGAATTCTTCTTTTTCGCAATCGCCGGCTGTAACTCCGGTGAAAAGGACTGGTTGTTTGTCCACCTCAGGTTTTTAGGTATAAAATCAGTCGGTGATCGTCAGTATTTAATGTGGTGTTTCTCCTTTTTTGCCCGTTCTGTATGAACTCTATCTCAGCAGGTTGGCCTGGGTTGTTCGATTTATACCATGTGTATATCTGGCTCTTCCGATGCTTATAGAAATTACTGTTAACAAAAAGCCTGTGCTCTGCACAAAGTTCTAGGACACACTGCCCATTGTATTATTGATGCAGTTGCTACAATAAGGGTCAGAATATGAAAATTCTCTGGGAACCAAGGGTTTAGGGGATTTTTAAAAAATAAGAATTCAGAGGCAAGAGGGTTATTATATTTTGATGGTACCACTTTTCTGAGCATAGAATGATACCAGCCTTACTTTTTTTTTAAAAAGGAACCAGACAAACAAAACTGAACTTAATAAAAGCTTATAAAAAGGAATAAAGACAAGATAAAAACCAGCACTGCGTACTTTGTAAAAGCTGGACTGATATATCCTTCTTGCCCTTCATAAGTTGAATAAGGTTGTGCTACCTTCTCATCATCAAAGTCCACATCAGCAGCATATTTAGTCGACGTCATTCCCAAAGGCCTGAGCAATGTCTGGTTCATCAACTCTTCCCAAGAGCTGTTGCTCATCAGTTCTGTGATAGCTGCTACCATAATGTAATTGGTGGAGCTATAGGTTCCTTTAACTCTGAACTCACTTGAACTCTCGAAGAATCTGACCCTCCTGTAACACAGAGAGATGTCGTTACAATTCACGCATAAGTGAAAGAAAAATGCTATTTTTTTAACCGTCTCAAATTTCAGAAAGCAGCCAAGCGTACAAAGTTAGTTGCATATCTTTAACAGGACGTTGCAGAACCAACCCCAGCAGCCCCTGGCTGTTGTGTGTTTTTTCTAGGCAAATTTACGTCCAGTAGTTTGAGGCATACAAGACCAAGACTAAAACTTTACACCTGGGGCAAGGCATTTTGTGTCACCAGGACATAAAGGGTAAACCAAAGTATATTGTGACAACAGGAATTTAAAGGGAAAGACCAATAGAAAAGGTTCCGGACAGGTTGGCATCACGACATAGAGCACAGCTATTCAAACTGTGTGCTGTGACACGTTAGTGTGTTGGCTGCAGTGTGAATGTATATCATGTGAACATAATGCGTTAAACAGAATATTTGGCATGCAATGCCACATCATCAATGCTGATGTCTTCTTCTGCCCTTCTAATCCCCAATGGAGTGGCAAATCTTCCTTGAACTCATCATATGATGATGATCATGATTCCGCATCAAAAGCAGCAGTGATATCTTCATCATATGCAAGCACAGACATAATATCTTCAAAATCAAAAGACTCTGAATGAATATTTTCACTAGAACTATCGGTATCGGAAACTGCTGCTCTAGTGTTTGCTACAGAAGGTGTAACTGCCGGTCAAGTCTTAGTCATACTTGACTGTCAAGCGACAGTCGATGTTTCACTGTCGATAATTTTTTCGTGGCACTTCGATGGACTTATCAAAGCCAGAGTCATCAAACTGTTCAATATTATCTCCACATTCACTTTCCAAAGAAAATCAAATCAAGAAAATCAGCCCAGCGACAGAAAAATGATAAAAATTAGTGCTTTTGTTTTTTTTCAACCCAAACAGACGGTATAATATTTCAGGGAGTTGTAGATAGGCTGCATGCAGTCGTGAGACCTAGGCTGCACTCTCCTGTAGGAAATAGGTGGATTGGGGTTAGGTCCAGTTCTAGGTGTTTTGGGGTAGTTAAAAGCACTACAAACCTTGGAAACCTGTCTTACCACCCTATAAAATATTGGACTGTTCCCGTGATAGCATCTGGTATGACTTATTAAGAAATAACCAAAATTATCACCGCGATCGCTTTGAGAATTTGACACAATGAAGAAAATTGTGTCAACTGTCACAGACATAGGAGCTAACAATGAAAATGCATCAAATATTTAGTATAAGCGCTACGAAGTTGTTTCCCTTAATTAAAATAGAGAAATAAATTGGCTAAAGGTTTCAACAAAGTTCATCGCAAAAATCGCGATTTCAACATGATGACGAGCGTCCAAATCTTTCATCACGAAAGGTGCGACACTGGCAGCAAGAAGTAAACGTCACCTTATCGCATAACATGTGACATGGGCAGTCAGAGTGTTAGCTTCACTCTCTACGTCCCTTCTTCATGTTTTTTTTTGGGGTGGGGGCCTTCCTTTATTTCTATGCCCCTGTGGGTTCCAGTGCAAAGACATTCTAATCATCTTGCTCTCAGGTTTTCTCAATGTGTGTCCTATCCAATGCCAGTGTCTTTTCTTGACCTCTTCGTCCACTGGAATTTGTTTACTTATCTGAAGTAAAAAGCTGTAATATTTGACTGCACACAAACCAAGTGTAAACGAGCTTCTTTATTAATTTCATGAAATATTACATTTTTACCTTTGTTTTTTTGTTTTTTTTTTGGTTTTAACACTTAAATAATATGTTAAAGTATTTTAAATCCCCAAACAAGGCACTCTATGTGACTGAATGTATTCATATGCACCAATCATATGCTTGTACATTTTATGTTTAATCAGGGCATGCTAAAACACTCAAGAATACTATGTCTCCAACAAGGGATGTGTATTTGTGTCCTCTGGATATAGTATACCCATTATTGTGTTTATTTTATCCCTTTAATATATTTTACTGTATAACATATACTTTCCATCCCATCGACTATACCAATGAATACCCCTCGCTCCAAAGCTTTATTTTTTTTACTATATAACTTATATAAACCTAGTCTCATACATCTCTACTTTAGCTACATTATAAATTTTTCGGTAAAAGTAAAGATCTCTCTACGCCACACACATATACACACTAGCTCACTTCTGATTGGTAGTTCCTGAACCTATCACCTTGGCACAAGGTTACGGAGTATTCCGCAATGCAGTTGATATGGCGTGTTGCATATTTTCAGCATAGCAGCGCTTTTACCACTCTAAAAACATGGAGAAACTGGTTTTAACACAAGCTCCCTAGACAGTGCTGCAACCTATGTCACAGGCATTCTCTTTCTGGGAATGAAACCGTAAATGTAAGACATCATAGAAAGCTAACAACAGAGCGGGACACACCCGTAACCTTCGAGAAAGTCGACCAGTCCAACAAACTTGTGAATGAAAAGTGACCTACACTAATTGGGGAAATTAAAATGAACCTAACCTATTTTTATAAATAACATATGCACTTTATAACCCTTCAACCATGCCAATAAAAACCCCTTGCTCTATACTTTTGTTATTCTACTTTATAACTTAATTAAGCCTAGTCTCGCAATATTCTACTTTATCGCTTTCAGATAGTTTACAATATAAAATACACACTTACTTTCCCCCTTAACTATGCCCATCAATACCCCTCGCTCTAAAGCTTTTGTTATTCTACTACATATTTTACTATATAACATATATACTTTCTACCCCTCGTCAACCATGTCAATCAATAGCCCTCGCTATATAGCTTTTGTTATTAAATAACATACAGCATCAACTATGACCCTCTGAGATGGAAAGAGTTAAACATTCAATTACATTCTATGAAACTGATGGCAGCAGAAGTCACTGTGCAAAGCACAAAGTTAACAGATGTTTAACATGTCCTATTTCTTAAAAGGGGTTAGTTTAACCTCTAGGTTGCTAGTAAACTAAATTACTGTGTCACAAAATTGTGTATGTCTCACCAACATTACAAGTTTGGAAAGCTCTGGCCTACAGGATCGTGTGTCTCAAAAATTACCTAAAGTTTGTTGGCAACGAAAGAGCTGATAGACTGGCCAGTTCTGCCTTAGTTGCAGATGGTCGGTCAATGGGTCATGTTGGCACAGTTAATGCCTTTAGAAAAAAAGGCGATCAACGGATTTTGGAGGCAGCGTGTCCACGTCATTGCAAAGAATGCTAGAATTTGGAGTAAAGATTGGCACAGCCAGGCATGAATGAATGATGAATCAAGAACTGACATCCCAGCACTTGGGACATTCCCACACATGTTCCGTCTTCTTCTTCAGTAGCCAACGAAGAGCTGATATGATAATAGTCCCTTTTGCAATCTGATTAGAGTTGACTGAGTTGAGTTGATTCAAGAACCGACATTACAGCAGTTGGGGCATTCCCATAAGCGCTCCGTCACCATCTTCAGCAGCCATCACAGAGTTCCAATACTAATGGTGCCAGTAGCATTCTGATTAAACGGCCATCTCACCTTTCCTCTGAGCTTCGAGCATTGGCCAGAACCCCTCATCACTCCCCGCTGCATCAATCTTACCAGGCTGTGGTGATCCATCTGCCCCTCTGAACTGTACACGTTCTCCCACAAAGCCCCGACCATGTCTGCCTTATCATGCATCAATACTGAAACCTGATTAAAGGCCCATCTGTGTTTTCCACTCAGTGTTTAATATCTTCCAGACCCTCTGCTTACCCCTCGCTGAATTAGCCTGTCAGTGTCTGCATACTTTGTCTGTTCTGTTGGGCTGTGCTGCTCCCAAGCCATTGAAAAGCTGCCGTTACCACCTCCACTCTCATATTGGATGTTGTAACGTTATATACTAAGCTCTCTGCTTTAATCTGTTTTAAAACAGTGTCCAACAACCTTTGCACTAAACCCCACTGACTCTTTTTACATCTTACTACAGACCCACTTGTATATATAACGATGTCTCCTGGGCATGGGAGGAACACTGGATGAATGAGAAGTCTTGTTAACCAAAATAGGACTAATACTATTATTAAAGCGTGGGACACTGATGTATATGTTGAAGGGGGAATTTGAGCCATCTATGGATGTGTCCAGAGTTCCATGAAGACAACCTCATAACTCAAAATGAGACAGAAGGCTATGGAAAGAAATGACTATCAATGCCTCACCTACTTCATGGACTATGAGAAGATTAAAAAATACATACATACTTTAACAATTCCTGTCGATCAATCTTGGGGTTAAACCGGAATTCATCATTGCCAGGGACTCTCAGGCGATGTGTCAGAAGATCCTCGATTGTTGCATACTCTGTCCTCTGAGTATCATTGAAGCAGAAATTGTTGCCGACCACTTCTCTTATAGTAGAAGATAGCTTGACACTGAAATTTTGGGAATTTGATATATGAACAAGTTTTACACTGGGAATTTAGTATATGAAAAAGTCTAAACTGTGATTTGGGTACATCAGCAAGTTTCAAGGTGTGAATTTAGTATATGATCAAGTTTAAAACTGTAAATTGGGTTTCTAAACAAGTTTCAAACTGAGAAGTTAGTATATGAACAAGTTTCAAATTGGTTCTTGTCAACAAACTGAACTCCTAACACTGTCATTATCTCTTCTTCTTACACTTTTCTTCTTCTTCCTCTTCTTCTTTCTTTTCTTCTTCTTTTTCTTCAGGTTAACCAGCTGTAAACTCTGACAGAAATTTATTGCTGTTCATGCATTTCTGAACTTGAGTCTTGCTTCAGAATTATCTGTGTGCACATCCTTTTTACAGATCTGGCTCTTTTATATGCAGAGTGTTAGTTCATCGCCTCTCAGACAGATGCACTCTGACCAAAGGAAACAATCAGTCAACCCTTATGACATGTTTGTTAGGAAGGTGGTAGATCTATTCTTTTGTTTTTTCCTTGTTTCCACAGTAGGGCCATGGGGATGACACTTTTCAACATCAATCTAACTATACAGGAAAACATCTAGAAGTGACTCTTTTCTCTAATGAAAATATTGTTCTTGAACACAGCTGGTGCATGCCTGCAAAAAACTCATCTACACACAGATAAGCTAGATCTGCAAGTGTTCTGGTCTCTATTGGTTGGGTACTCTTGCAGCAAACTCTTAAATGGAGATGTATTAGTCCCACAGTTGGTCATCTGTAGCTTCCAGCTTTAGCTTGTGGATTTTAGGAAATCCTTAATTAGTCACCTTAAAGTTTAAGTTTGTAATTGTTAAGGGGCAGGATGACTATCCCATCACCCACAACTGGGGCCTGCAACCAATAGGAGGAAGCATGGATATTATAAGTAAAGTAAAGATCCCTTTTCACGCCTTTAGACATACCGGGCATATGGGAAGAGCGCCCATGTTTTTACAGACCATCAGCACTCGGTAGGTGATGTAGTCAGCATTACGCCGGTCGTCTTTACTTCCCCAGGACATACATCCTGGCACCCAATTAAGGCTGGGTCTACCTGCGATGCCCCATACCATGATAAAAATCCATGCAGCCAGCAGTTGGTTTTGATCGCGGCACGTTGGAATTACGAGTCGGACTCACAACGCCTAAGCTACGAATACCATGGATATTATTGTAGATATTATAGTAGAAACATTTTAGCTTTGGCCATAATCAAGGAGAGAAATGCCTGTGTGGATTCCAGGGCCCTATTACAGGGAAAACAAGAGCAGACCCACCCAAAACCCTGTCATAAGAGTCGACTAATATTGCGAGCTTTCTTTAAAGTCCAAGTGCACCTACCTGAGAGTCTAGGAACAGTCTGCAGAAAAATTTATAAAATGGATGTGCATGTACCAGACATGTTCTGGAACAGGATTAGAGTCCAGTTGAGTTGAGCTGAGTCAAGACTGACATCACAGCACTCGGGGCAATTCCATATGTGCTACGTCCTTACCTTCAGCAGCCAGCGCAGAGTTCCAATACTGATGGTACCGGTCACAATCTGGTTATATATCCGTCTTGCCTTTCCTCTGTGTATAATGAGCTGGTAAGATGATGATGATGACAGTAAGTCCCAGTGTTACTAATTGTCCCTTCCTTTAAGGGGGGCCGGGGTAACACAACAACAAACAATGGTTAACTACCTTCCGTTCTTAGCCATAACATCCAGAATAAGGGCGGCAGTAAAAGCCTTGGTCAGCGACGCCATGCTAAATAAAGTTTTTGAAGTCACATTGTACCCTTTCTTAGGACTGGTCACTCCAAAACCTTCTGAGAAGACCACCTTACCATTCTGAAAAAAAAACCAAAAAAGCATTCATCATCATCATCAATTTCCACTTCTGCTGTTAAGCGTCGTGGATTTTTTTTTTTTTCTTTTGTTTTTTTTTTTCGGGGGGGTGGGGGGGGGGGGGGGGGGGGGGGGGGGGGGGGGGGGGGGGGGGGGGGGGGGGGGGGGGGGGACAGTTTGCAATCCATTCCTTGATGGGCAGCTGCTGTCATTCCGTTTTGATGCAGAAGCTTTTAAGTGTCATCAATCCATCTTCTCGTAGGGCGGCCTCTTGCTTTCGCTTCAGATCTTTTCATGTTTTGCACCTGTTGTTCTTACAGAGTGTCTGATAACATAATTTCAAACTTTGTCTCGGATGGTTAAGTTGGCGGCTTTTCTCAGGCATCTCATTTCGCAAGTGATAATTTTACGTAGGTTAGCCTTTGATAATGTTTGGCACTGGTAGCACAGTGTTGGTATGACTATACTGTTTATAACCTGTTTCATGGTGCTCATACATATGTTTGGATGTCTTAATAACGGTGTCAGTTGGTATATAAATGCAGTGGCTTGTTTGCATCTTTTTTTTTCCCCTACACAATCTATTCTTCCGTCCTCTGTGAATTTAGTTTGTAGATATTTAAACTCTTTAACTTGCTTCAGACAAGAACTATTCAACATTAATACTTTAAAAATATAAACTGCCACATTTACACTGGAGATTGCCGGGCAAGGGATCTCTAAACGGTTGGTAAAGTCTATCAAATGCTTTCGTTGCTTACTTGCTAATGTGTTGTTCTGCATAATTTAGGCTGTACTCATGTGGGACGCAATTTTTCAATATTTTGAAGCCCCAGCCCGACTTTTGCCGGGGGCCACAATATAGCCTGAAGGTTGAATGTGGTTTCTGGAACTGTGACCTTGTGTCATCAGGTGTTTATTGCTCTGTGTGATGTCCTGGTGGGGTAAAATTCACTTACTTACTTGCTACAGCAACTACAGTTTCCATATAACATACTGCTTCCGAGGCCCGATTATGGGGAAAGGGTGGGAGGGGGGGGGGGGGTGTTGATCTACTGCCCTTCCAACAAGCATTTTATAAAAGACGACAAAAAAGGGGCATTTTTTTTCTTTCTTCAAATTAACAATACATCTGCCTTAGAGGCAAGAAACCAACAGACTGCATACAAATATGTCAGATGTAAAGCAAAACTCAGGTCCTGGAACAAAGCCCAAGTCCAGTGATGGATGAACAACCAAGACTGTCTGCCAACATTTACAACCAGTAAAGGCAAACAAAGAAACAACTATGAGTTGCCTCTTGTTGGTGATTGGCTGCTGTGTGTTGTTAAATCACAACACAGCATGGATATCTTCGTCTTCCATATTTAACATGAACTCCAGTAGTTATTACTTTAGCTCCTTCTTTCTCAATGAGATGAGACTGAAAACAAACAAAGTACCGAAGCATTGTAAAACAGACACACAAGAAAAGAAGTAGTTACACTAAAAAAACAAAAAAAAAAGAGTGCAATATCCTCTTATTCTTTATTGCTTGTCTGAGTGATGTAATTGCATTGTGCCTGCAAACAATATAGCTGCTATATTTGGAACTTTCAGCCAAAACATCTGACTTCATTTTCTTTCTGGCTGTTTCTACAGGGATGCTTCAAGCAGAGTGGCAAGCTTCACTGGTAAGGTCATGGGTAGTGAGCATACTTTGGATCTTTTCTCCAGACTATGCTGGTGTAGTTGGTAATGAACAGCCAGACAGGCTGAATTTGCACCACTGGGTAGTGAATTGATACATGACAAGGCAGATGTGGTCAAGGCTCTTTGGGAACAAGGAACGGAATCCATAACAACATTATTATCGCCTGCAGAGAATGAGGTACCAAAGGGTCTGGCCCGCTCACTACACTCAGAGACAAGGCAAAACGGACATATAACCAGATTGTGACCGGTTTACCATTAGTATTGGAACTCTGCGCTGGCTGCTGAAGATGAGGACGGAGCATACATGGGAATGCCCCGAATGCTGTTATGTCAATTCTAGATTCAACTCAACTCTGGCTGTTTCTGATTTCATTATTTTAAATGTTACATTCAGTAGTTAGTCACTGCTTTCTGAATGAGCAGCTTTTGATAACACTGTCAAAGCCAACGCACGGCAGTCTGCTCTGCCGGTTAGAAGAGGATTACATTTGGTTTAGACTGATCAAAAAAGTTGTTGATATTCTGCTGGTCAGGGGCTAACAGCTGCAATGTCCTCTGTTTGTTTATTGTAAATTATTCAGTAACTTGGACATATATACTTCATGTTTTTCTTACATTTTCTTTCCTATCTTTCCCTCTCATTTTTAGACCTACAAAATTGTGGGAAGTTGCATGGTACAGAAAGAGTGACAAGCAAGGTTGTCACAGAGTGTTCTGCAGCTTCCTCCTCTTCTCCAGTCCTTTATTCCTAAATGGAGCCCAAGCCCTCAACCAGCTCATACCAAGTCATCCGATCCAATGCTATTGCATGCAGCCCACCCCATGTCCTCCAGAAATCTTAAAATTCCCTCTCTAGTTTTCTTTTCCATGAGTTTTCTGGCCAGCCTGTATTTATATGTGGGTTCCACTGTAAAGCCCTTCTATTTATACTGTTTTAAGCTTTTCTCAATCTGTCCTATTCAATGTCAGTTTTTTCTTCACCTCTGATTCACTGAAATTTAGTTTTTTCCCAAAACTCCACATTAGTGATTTTATCATACCCTTTAATTGCCTTTGCTGCTTGTGCAGGCACTAGTTAATGAATGTTTGTAGTTTATTAATAACTGTTTCAGTTGTTCTCCATGTTTCAGCCCATACAAGAGTACTTCTTCTTCTTTCTTCACGTTCACTGGTTGTAAACTCTGACGGAAAGTTCTGGTCGTCTGTCCACCTCTAGACTTAGTCTTGTTCCAGAACATAAGTGTTTTGTGCATATCCTTTCAACAGATCTGACTCAACTGTATGCAGATTGTTGGTTCCTGGCCTCTCAGGCAGGGGCACTCTGAAATCGAAGGAAGTCCCTAATTAGTCGACTCTTGCTTCAGCTTGTTGGGGAGGCAGTGGGTTTATTTCTGTTTTCCTCACAATGGGGCCCCAGGATCCACAAGAGTACAGACCTGACATCTGTGATATATCCACCTGTCTGCCCAAAACAGTGGATTTTGGTAAATCCTTCATTAGTCACCTTATAGTTTTAAGTCTGTAATTGTTAAGGGGCAGGATGACTATCCTCTCACCCCCAACTAGGGCCTGAAACCAATATGTAGGTAGGTAGTTATACCCCACCATGACATCACACAAGCGATAAACACCGGGTGACACAAAGTGCCACCATGCAGATGAGGATCACAGGTGGAGTGGTCCCAGAAACCCCTTTCAGCCGTTATGCTATATCTATGGCCTAGGCCATATTTATGGCCCAGCTATATTCAGGGCGGGGCTTCAAATTTAAAAAAAACTGTATCCCACATGGGGACGACTTTGATATTAATATGAGTTGGAACCAATAAAAGGAAGCATGGGCTGTCCTCCGAATAATTGTCCAAAATTATCGAAGTCAAAAATATACCCTAACAGGTCTACAGTCACATGAAAATTGTGGACTTCCGGCGACTTAAATTTCGGACTTCTGGTGACTACCACTACCGCCGAGAGTATCTCCGGCGCCGCATCTCCTGCAGCTACTGTATCTCCTGCAGCTTCCTTCATTTTATTTGCTCTAGTTTAGCCCCACTCCGTGCCATGCATAGTGGCACAGGAGATACTCGCGGCAGTGGGCGGTGGTTGCCTTAAGTCTGCAATTTACATGTGACTGAGACCCTGTTTGGGTATATTTTCAGCCTCAATAATTTGGGACTGTTATTCGGAGTTTAGCCTAGCATGGATAGTATAGTAGAAACATTTTAGTTTTAGCCATTATCAAGGAGAGAGATGCCTGTGTGGATTCCAGGGCCCTATTACAGGGAAAACAAGAGCAGTCCTACTGCCTACCCAAAAGCATGTCATAAGAGGCTACTAATATTGGGAGCTTCCTTTAAAGTCCAAGTGCATCTACCTGAGAGTCTAAGAACAGTCTGCATAAAAATGAGTCGGATCTATAAAACAGATGTGCATGTACCACTCAGATTCTGGAACAGGACTACAGTCCAGAAATGGCCGAATAACCAGCACTTTCCAACTGAGTTTATAGCCAGTGAATGCAAAGAAGAAGAAGGAGAGAAATTAAAAAGAAATGGAAGTGACATTTTTTATGATATAAAACCCCATTATTAACGCTGTCTAGCTCTTGCTCATTGGTCTTCAAATATTTTAGGCAAAAGACTAAGTGTTGTTTATTATTCACAGATATGGCTTGTATTTGCAGAGGTGGTTCCTTGCCTCTCAGGCAGACGTGCTCCAAATTTGAAGGAAGCCACCAATTAGTCCACTCCTTGCTGTGGATGCAGTGGGTCTAGTCTTGTTTTGCCTCACAACGGGGACTCAGAACTCGCACGCGGATCATTATCATTCATTATGTTTTTCGTGTAAAGAAATATTTCAATCGTATTTTATTTTTATATTTTTTTAACTATGATATATATTTTCTTCTTTTTTCCGTATTGGATTACTTCTCCCAAGAAATAACAAAAACTCACTTTAACAATCGAGACTGACAACCCTGGGTTTCTATAACATGCAAGAGTCTTAGCAATATCATCTTTCAACTTGAACAGTCTATCCGTCTCCGTCGGTGCTCCAGGTTCTATTTGTGGAACATCGGCCGCCTTGTTTTCGTGAAGCCCAAGATTAATTTGCGGAGGGTTTTCCTGCTTCATAGACACGACATCGATAGCAACATGCAGATCCATAATTCCTGCGAAGATTGCTATAACTGTAGTTATTCTCCGTCCACAAATGAACATTGTTTATTTACAGCAAGTTTTTCCTACAAGAAACATCCAAACAGTGTTTTCCCAGATCAGCTGTTTGTGTGACCGGAAATGTTCACAGAAAGTAGAGCGAAGACTTGGAAA